ATACTTGTCAAGGTAATCACCACGGCACCAGTCTTTCCCAATTCCAATACAGATGAATTTTCTATAGTAGAATTCTCAATTTGTCATTTCTCTATTTAAAAATCCTCAATTGTTCTTCTATGCCTATGGCACTGTATTAAGCCTATATGGCTCTTTAGTCTATGCAATATACAAGAAACTCCACAAAATATAGTTTCAACCCATCTATGTCCTTACTATCTCTTACTACTTCTTCCACCTCCTACCACTCCCCTTCCCTCCCTCTTTGCTTCAGTCATCTTGAACTGCTGTGTTATCCACATGAACCTTATAAATTTCTAATTCTGTACTTTAGCTCATGCTGTTACCATCATCTGAAATGTGCTGCCTACTTCAAAAAAAGGAATAGAAGTTTCTGAGAAAAGTACAAAAACTGAAAGGGAATCGGGTAACTAGCTTACTAGCAACTCAAGCCACAATTTCACAGCATGATTACTTTATCTGAAATGTCAAAATCACCATCAGTAAATATTATGTATTATGTGTAAGGCACAATGCAAAACAAACTTTCAGATTAGACATTTTATAAATGTTAGCAAATACATTTCAGAAACAAACTGAATTGGGATATTTTGCATTATGAATAACTTATCCCTCTGGTTTTTTTTTTTTTTTTTTCCATTAACTGCAATTAAAAAAGAGATAAAATGATGGTGACAAATGCTGTTGCCATTATCTTCTTAGAATGATAAGATAGGAACAAGAAAATTGTACATATGGAGAATGGGTAACAGACTAGATTTTAGTAGCATAATAACCAGGGAACAAGTATCCCTATGCTAAGGCCTATCAGCATTTGACTATCCAGAACAAAATTATCAGCATATGAATATGTTTAGGATGTTAACCTTTTTGTTAAATTGAAAAATAACACATTCCCCAGCAAACGAATAGTGAGATCCATTAATAGCAGGAAATGGTTAAAGGCAGTATAAACGTGTTCTTGGTTGACTCTACCTTGGTCTACAGAAGCTGAATCGTAGTTTAATTATCTCGATCCTTTAATAAGCATTTACAGAGTACCTAGTATAGGCTGTAGGCTAAGCACTCTGCCAGGTACTGAAGATACACACATAAATAAGGGTCACTCTTTGCCCTTCAAAGAGTCCAGTCGAGTAGGGAAGACAGATCTATAAGCATACCATTATGAAATGGCAAGGATAGCATTAAGCGGTATCTGAAGGCCACTATGGAATCACAGAGAAGGGACCTCTACCTAAGGTGCCTGGAGGAGGGACTCAAGAGAGGCTTTCTCAGGCCACTGTTCTTTCCACAACACCTGTCATCACTACCATTATCATTATCAAAAGCCTCTGCATACATAGCCAAAACAGTAAGCAACAGATAGCCTGTACAGATTATAAGCAATAATCAATATAAAAAATAAATTATTGATATTCCCTGACTTATATAAAGAAGTTCAGGATTTCAGATTTTACCAGGTAAGTAAAGTAACTAAAGAGGAAAAAAAAAAAAAAAAAAAAAAACCCTCAGATGTACAAATTATTTAAATATTTAAGAAATGTAAAAATACTTTTTAAAATTCTCTGGCTTTCATATACCATTTATTTATATGTGAAGGATCTACTGATAAATCTAATAAGCTGTTTGATGCATTACAAAATGCTTTCAAAAGTCTGACCGAATTTTCTCTCAAAGGAATGATTGTAATGTATCCTGAAATCAGATTTCATACTCATAATTATCTTCTAAAGTATCCACACCTCCAGTGAAAAATAAAAACAATCTCTACCTGGGGAGGGAAATTTCACCCCATATAAAATACAGAGTCACATTTTCTGTGAAGCTTTTGTACTACATTCCTCTTAAAGTGTTAAGCTGATGGGTGTTCAGATTCTTAATAAGACACAACAGATGGACACAGTTAGTGAAACATGGTTAAGACTGAAAAGAGGAGGCAGTTGATGACAAGAAGAAAAATGTACAATTCTCACTTGCATTTAGGTGTGGGGAACTAATTTAAAAGCTACTCGAGATGCCTGTCTTAGAATTGTAAAGCAACACTTGAAAAAGTCAGCTTACACCAATCAAACAAAGCACAATATTAAAGAATTTATCTTTCATTTGAAATATGTCATGATTTGGTCTTTATGCAGGGAGAACAACATGCAAGGGTACCAGTTGACAAAGTCATACAATGAAGTCAAGAAATAAGTAAAGAAAAAGACGCAGGCAAACAGTACTTATTTTGGCTTAACAATCTGACAGCAGTCAAATATTGTTTGAATAATAATGACTCAAATCTTGAAGTATTCTATACTGTAAAAGAGAAAAAAACCTGCAGCATAGGAGATTGTGTACCCATCAGAGCTCAGCAAGTAAATGTAGTGTTTAGCAGAGAAAAGGAAATTATCTACTCTAAGTTTCATTGTCTAGATTTTTTTGGTTTTGTTTCTCTTTGAGGATTCACATAATCACTGGAGCTTTCAAGAGCCACTCCCCTTTAAACATGTTTATTAAATACTGAAAATTGAAATAACACAACAGAAATTCCTTTGCTGCTGTTGTTGTTGCTGTTATGTGCCTTCGAGTCGGATCAAACTCATAGTAACTCCTCCTTGGGTTTCTGAAGCAGTATCACCACTATGGAAGTAGATTGCCCAACCTTCCTTCTGAGGAGTGGCTGGTGGGTTTGAACTGCCAGCCTTCTGGTTAGCAGTCAAGTGGCTTAGGCACTATGCCACCAGAGCACCCTTTACATAAACAATACAATGTAAATCACCAATTTCTACTCTTGTTTTCCCCACAGTCATTTGTTTCAAAGTCTTAACAATGGATCTCATCTTACAAGTGATTTGAGAATTCTAAAACACACATACAAGTGCCAAAGAATGGCCAATAAATAAAATGGAATAAAGCAACGTGAAATGTGAAAAACATTAAACCATATATAGATAACTTATAAATTGTAGATAACAAGAAAGGAAGGAAAGACTGATTTTCAAAGGGAAAAAGCAATTTGCTCTACAGAAACACTCTGGCTTGTCCCATAGTGATTCTAAAATTACTGGTACATTTTGAACATTTTGGTACTGGCACTGAAACTGGATAAAATCTACTTCTGGTATAATTCTCTGGCATATATCTATGTCTTGTTGCTACAACTGACCATTTCCGCCAGTTTTAAGTTCTCAGAAAGCTTCTGAGCAAAGCAATATGGACATTTACATCTGTATCCAATCTGATCTGATCTCCTTCCTGTGAGGAAGACAAATTTTTTTTCAAACCACGGTTTCAGGAGACTCTGAAGTACTTTTTCATATGGAAATGCCAATTCCCTTTCTCACTGCGCTTCTTGTTGGATCTCTTTTCTCTTGTTGGATCTCTTTTCTCTCCCGAGCAATTCTTCTAGTGGAGGAAAAGGGTATCTGTATCTGGTACCAAAGGTGAAGGTCAAGCATTTCTGAGCTGAGGAGGAAGGATAAGAGACTGCTTTTCTCACTCTACAGTTCCCAGAACAATTCCAGAAATAAGAACATTCAAATTCAAGTCTAAAATGATTTTTTATAATGTATACTGTGACTGAGGAATCTCCAACTGATTTGTCTTTTCATTTAAAGTAACAAAGTCTTACCTGTTACCTCAATTGCTGGATCTTCCCTGTACTGCTCTTAGGGCAGCCCTTCTGGTGGAAAGGAAGGGTGGCTGGTAGAGAGTCAAGTTACTGAGGCTATCCATCAGCCTTTCTGAGGAAAAAGGATGAGAAGCTGCTCTGTCTGCTTGGGAATTTTCTTCTGGGGGCATCTGGAAAGACTCAGGATTCAAGGTTGGGTTAAAATTTCAGTGTTTGCTTCCTGGAAGCTTAATTCTGAAGCTTCTCCTGGATCTTTGGGTCTAGATGGGAAGGTGATGCTTATGGTTCCCAAACTGTCACAAGTTGAACTAGAAAGACTCCAGCCCAAATTGGGCCTTCCAAGAGCTTTAAAAGAAAAACAGTGAGATAATTTGCCATTTCCTAAGGATCTGTGTCTACTAGGGATGAAGGTAGGAGATGGGGACTCCAAAATGAATACAACAAGACTAATCTCAAGGACACTTCCTTTGATAATGGAAATAGTTAAAATACAATGTTACAGCATTATGATTCAGATGTGAGTAAAGTCTTAATAAAAACTCAACTCAAGTCTTAATGGAGCAGGCAAAAAATCAGTACCAAACTTTTCAACTTACTGGGAGCTTTCTTCCTTTCCACAACATGGTCCTAATCTTTACCTTAGCCTTCAAAGTCCTCTAAGTACTTTATATCACAAACTATGCTTTTGAATATTAAAATATTGCCAGCCCAAGTGGAAATTATTTATACTTTCATGACTTCATTACATATAATTCCTATCACCAGCAATGTTTTTCTCTGTATACTCAAACTAAGTAGCAATATACTATAGTGCAGTGGTTCTCAACATTTCAGTATACGTAAGAATCACCCTGAGAAGCCTATTAAAAATGCAGAGTCCTGGATCTTACAATCAAGGATCTGATTCAGCAGATCTGGTATGAGACCCAGGAACCTTTTTACATAGGTACTCAATAAAATTTTGATGTTTGTGGTTTGGTTTTTTGGTTTTGGTCTAAAAACCACACTCTGAGAAACATTAGTGTAATGGTTAAAAGTATGGACTTTTTAATCAAGACTCACCTGGGCTTGAACCCTACCACTTTCACTTTTTAATTTTGTTACCTTGGGCAAATTTATTTTACTTGTCTAGTCTTCCTTCCCTTATCTATTAAATGACAACAATACATCCACCTATGTGAAATTTAAATGAGAGAATGCACACAAAATGATTAGTTGAGTACATGACACATGAAAATTATCCAATAAATTTACTGTTACTAGTATCATCAGCAATAATTTTAAAATTAGTTTTCTGAATCAAAGTTATCTGAATTTCTTTGGTTCTGTTTCCCCAATCATTTACATTAGCTAGACAACCACTTACATGAATTCAAGTTATTCTCATTCACTTTTAAGTGTTCAATGTTTTCCATGGTCATTTGCTTAAAATTGGAATCATGTGCCAAAGGGAGTCCCAAGATAATATTAATGACCTATCATCTTATTATAGGATTCTTGGCAAAACTGCAAAATAGGAAATTTGATTTTGGTGTCCTACCAATTTCTGCTGTTCATCAGCCCTCCACGCCCCCATATGAGTGCCTGTTTGATCACAAAGATGTTAAAAAAGTCAGAAATGATTTATTTTGGTCATAGTTCTCTAGCCACCAATTTCCCATAGAATCAGTGTTTCCAACAAAAAGATTCAAATTCATATGTGTTTTCTGTGTTAACGCAGGATTTTATTACATTGTTGTATACTTCTTTGATTGTAGTGCTTTATGAGCTTTAAATTATTTTCAGAGTTTTGTCGGGGGAGGGGGACATACTCTCAATAACTAGATTGACCTTTCTTTAAAGGTGGGAACTATCCCTTTGATTTCTGTATGTTTTCATGGTGTATAGTCAATATAATTGATAGATTTCAAGAAAGAGTATGTCTAGACGAAATCTTAGAAGTACTGGGTACATTATCTTCAATTATATAAAATCATGTGGGATACATACTTATATAAAGAGTTGTCATTGACTCCTTGGTACAGTTAATAATCACAAGTAGCATTTATGTAAAGCTTTTGGAGTAGCAAATTACTTTCATTAAAATCATTAGTCTATAAAAAGAAAGTAACAAGAGCCTGCAAAGTCACCCTGGCTAGGGTAATATATTTGCCACTTGTTAGTTTTTGTTACCAAAATCACATCTTATTTTAATGAAGTAATTTAATCAAATGAAGTGCCTAGTGTATCATAGCTCTTTAATAAATATCTATTAAATGAATGAATGTACAAACAATGGTAACCTTTATACACATCAACTTCAAGCATGTTATTTTTTCTTAAAAAGAAGCCAACAAAAAACACCAAAACTCTAAAACTAAAAACAAATACGTTTCCCATTACAAATCAGACTGTACCCAATTCTGATAGTTACTACATCAATAATTCAAATTTAAATTATTTTATTTATTTTTACTTTAGTGAATTAAAGAATAATCTTCCTTTCATAGAATATATAAAATACTATTTCAACAAAGAATATATAGCTTGTGGCAACTTAGTATTATCAATCTAAGCTGAACTCAAAAGTGTGCTTAATAAAAGACATAAGAGGCCCACCAAAAGCAATGAAAATCATTCCCCCCTCCCCCATGTATAAAATAAGGGAGCTCTGGTGGTATAGTGCCCAAGGCATTTGACTGCCAGAAGGCTGGTGGTTTAAATCCACCATCCACTCCTCAGAAGGAAGATTGGGCAATTTACTTCTGTCCTGATACTGCCTTGGAAGCCCCAGGAGGGGCTGCTATGAGTCGGATCTGACGACAGCAGTGACTTTGGTTTGGTTTTGATATGAAATAAGGAGCTCTGGTGGCACAGTGGCTAAGGTACTTGACTAGAAACAGGAAGGTCAGCGGTTCAAATCCACCAGCTGCTCCTCAGAAGGAGTATTCCTATACATTTTTTTTTTAATGTATAAAATTAAAGGTAGAAAAGACAATTTCTCTGTGTTGAAACTCATAATTAAAGTACTATTTCTAGAAAACTCCTGTGTACTGAGACCAGCCATATTGTCAAGACTTTGAGTAAACATAAAAATAGAGCTCACTTTGGTTTTAGCTTACTGAACATAAGCTTGCTTTAAGCCTATTATTTTTTTACTGTCATTTACCTATATAATTAAATGAAAAGCATTTTTCCTATTTTAAACATAAAATACCTCAGGGGGGAAAAAACCCAACATGGTAAAAAAAAAAAAAAGCCAACCCACCAAAATCACTGCTATCAAGTCTTTTCTGACTCATAGTGACCCCCTTTGGGTTTCCAAGGCAGTAAAATCTTTACAGAAGTAGACTGTCCAGTCTTTCTTCTGCACAGTGGCTGGTGGGTTTGAATTACCAGCCTTCTGGTTAGCAGTCAAATGTCTTAGGTGGTATGCCACCAGAGCTCCTCCTTAACATGGTAAAGTCTGAGAATTTATATTCTGCTGTTTCAACTACTTAGATCTGTGAATGGAAAAAATGGAAGAGGTTGAGAATGATTATTTAAGATCAACATAATATTTTAAAGATTTTTAGATATTGATGTCTACCCTTTACTTCCCCCAACTAATTATTATATCAAGGATTATGTAACTCTACTAGAGCATTATATCTTTATAATTTTTGTAATCGATGCACAATAAATAGATTCTCCTTGTTGACTTTCAATACAGAAACTGAAACTCTCCTCCTCTCCAGGCTTTAAAGAACAGCAAGTAGAACATATATTTACTGGTAATTATATTTATATTGTTCTATGTGATCAGTTGTCTTCTACTTGTTCAGAAATTAGTAACAAAGGCATTGACCAAGCCATGCTAAAGTTAAGATTTAAAATATATCTAAATTTAAGATACTGAGTGATCATTTTTAGCTTCTTAGCATATTTACATAAGGTATATACATCTACTAGTCAAATGTTTTGAGGAAAAGATCTTCATAATCACAGTCAAATAAATAATAAAGCTTTTAGGACTAATAAACGATTTATAGATAACAATGAGCAGATACTACTGGATTTGCACATGCCTTAAATTAGTGTTAGTAAACCACCAAACTGTATTTTTCTGCCTCTTTTTAACCCCTAGATCAACTTCTGAATGGGCAAATACTTATGAGTACTCCTCAGACAATTAAAATGTTTTATGACAGAACTATTCTGGAGAAAAGTTCTTGTGAGACATGAGAAAGTAATGCTGAAGAAAGCACTAGCAATAGCTTCCTTCTGTACTTCCACAACCCTTACCACCTGTGCCACAAGGGCACCAAACTAGCACAGGAACAAAAGTATAGATGTGTATCTGCATTGCGCTTTACCATTTATAAAACACTCTCATATATATAACCTAATTACATCCTCATAATAGCCTTGTGAGGTTACCTGAGTAAGCATTATTAGCCCCAAGCAGGTGATCTAACCACCTAAATATATTATATAGCTATGCACTGTACATGGTATCTAGTTGAGTTTTCCTCTAGAGTACTGTAAGCCATAGCATTCAAATTTTTATATGTGGTTATCTTCATTTTTAAGCAAGATGTTACCTGATCTGGGAAAAATGATTTGCTATGCACTTGCCAAAAAACAAAACAAAACAAAAAACATTATTTTAGAACACAGTGGTCAATAACTAAAGTGTATAGTGTTTGACTAGCAGATTCAAAATCAGGGTACAGGAAGATAAATGGAATATGTGCAAGGATCAACAAAATGCTGTACTCACAGATGGACAGACTAATGAGTGAGAAGAGAATGAAACTATATGACACCACCCTAACCAGCTGTGGTATGCTGAAACATAACAGGCACTAGAACACTAGAACTGACAAGCTACATAACATATCAATTATGAAATATGTGCAGCCTGACAGAATCTAGGAAAAAATAAAAAGTATTCACTTTGCTGACTGACAATTCAAGAACACAAACACTGAAGGGAAACCATAATTGGTAAACAGACATATATTCCAGGATTAGATACACATGCCACAGCCTCCCATCTAGTTGGACTGTCTCCAAAAGATCGATGCTCTAAGACATCTTCAAACTTAACTGTAGAGCTGTCTCATTTTCCTTCCAAATGAAAATATGTTTTCCAACAGCAAATGCAGTGCATGCTCATTGTAAACAAAATTTAAACACACAACACGCAAAGTATAAATGAAAGCCCCCCCATAATTCCACCCCTCAGATACAACCATTCTAGAGCTTGATTCATATTTTCCAAGCTTTTCCCTATGTCTACAAAAATACATATGTATAATAAAATACAAACATTTTATGCAAAAATATTTATGGTATAAAATATGTATCATATCACTATGAACCACATATAACCTACTTTAAATAGCAAACAGTATTAAAACCCACTGCCATCAAGTCGATTCTGACTCATAATGACCCTATAGAACAGAGCAGAATTGCCCCATATAGACTCCAAACTTGTAAATCTTTACAGAGGCAGTTAGTTTCATCTTTCTCCCATGCAGCGGCTGGTGGGTTCAAACCACCAATCTTTCGGTTAGCAGCCGAATGCTTTAACCACTATACCACCAGATCACCAGATCAATTTCATAACATGGAAGCAAAATCTTCTTCATGACAAGTTTCTGAGTATCTTAGCTTTCTTTTTCTTCAGATTCCTTCCTATTTTGTAGCATGAGAAATAGTTTATTTCCAAACTTATATTATAAATGTACACTAACAGGTGAATATGTAGCAGAGTTCTTTCAATCCAAACAAATTTTAGCTTTCTGAAATAAATTTAAAAAAAAATAAAGCTTAAACACTAGAAATGCTGTGAGCAGTAACTCAGAAAATGGAATACGTGTGCAGTGTAGTAAATTACTTAGTGTGGCTTTTCTACCCACAAGTCTTTGTAAACTCCAAGGTGGGATTTGCTATGAGCAACTGAGGAGCTCCTGATTGCTAATGTTGTCCACCTGGAGTATTTCTTTTGGGAGTGACACAAAACAATGTTCTGGGAGGTTCCTTCTCTCTCTCAGATGCTTAGAGTTCTGATGCTATGATTGGCTACTTTGGCCACTCTGCCAGGCTCAAAAGGAGGCCTCCTAGAGGCAGAACTCTCTCTCTGACTGCTGGTTGAGGAAGATGTGCTGCTGAAAGAGACACGTGCTCCTGAAAGAGACACACACTGCTGGGAAAGAGACGCAAGAGACACACATTGCTGAGTGAGACACCGAGGGATACTCACTGTTGGGAGAGAGACGGTGGGCTGGGAGAGAGACTGAGCATTTTTCCAGAACTTGAATTGTAGCCAGTGGTGCTTCCCTAATAAACCCTGTAATCTGTGAGTTCTGTGTGGCCAGTGCAGTGAATTATCGAACCCAGGAGAGAGGTGGTGGGTGGCTCTGGAAGGAACAGTTGGTGAAAGGGCTGGAGGGAGGTAGCATGTCTGGCCTTGCAGTAATAGGCCTTGGGCTATTGATGGTGATTCTGTCTTCCTCTTGTGAGATTAGAGGAGGTCAGAATATGTGGCCTCCTTGTCCTTTTAGCAACATGCCACATGGCCAATATGTCAGGAAAAAATTACCCCCTTTTCTCAGCTCAGTTTGGGAAAATAAGGAGGTTCTATATTAGTCTGACACTATAGCAGACATTAAACATACTGTCTTACTATAATGCTGAGGGAGGCTTTTGTGGGTTCTCAAGGTGTTGCCAACTCTCTCATAAATCAAACAATATACAAAAGTTATTCTATTATCAAAGTTATTAAAAATAAAATTTATACATATATTTGTAATGATTGTATAATGACTGTCTGACTGTTCTACATTTTAAAATACAATGCACTTTTCAAAAGCAAAACAAGTTTTATCTCATTCATTCGACTATTGCAGGCCTATCATGTATGTGAGGTGCTGAGGATACAGGAAATGAGTAAGAAGCAGTAAGGATCTTTCCATAAAGGAAAGGTAAAGGCTGAGGTTAAAGATTTGAGATCATTTGCCTAGTGGCATTGAAGTCTTAGGAATAATACAGGAGCTCACAGTGAAACAATGCATAAAAAGTCTTTTAGGGAACAAGAAAATGAGACAGACAATGGTTTTAAAAGCAGGAAAAGAAACCTGTCACAGAAGAGAATTTCCAAGGTGGGAAAAAAAAAAAGATAGTGCTTGCTAAGTGTTAAATTGCTGCAGTGAAGACAGAGAATGAGAACTAAAAATAAGCAATTAGATTTGGTCATTAGTCACTGGTAACCTTTACAAGATGCTATATTACCAATGAATTTGGTACACTACACTCAGCAAATAATATCTCTACCTGTGAACGACAGTCTATGTTTTCTGACTTTCTATACAACTTTTCTTATACTTTCTAATACAGCACTTATTACACACCATATTACAGTATAATTTTAAGTTATCTTTAATTCCCTTTTTAAAGTTCCCTCTCCTTCAAATACCTAGATAAGACACCCAATATTTATTTATTTATTTATTTATTTTTCTAATTGTGATTTGGGTGAAAGTTTACAGAGCAAATTCACTTTCCATACAGCAATTCACACACAAGTTGTCTCATAACATTGACTACAATTTACCCCAATGCAACAGCTCCCCTCCCACTTCCTCCCGATAGTTACCTCTTCCCTGTGTCCATCCTCCATGCACTCCTGCCCCCTGAGCTGTCTCCCTGTGCCCTTCTTTCTCCCATGATTGTTCTCTCCAAGGAGTCTATCTACCTCAGGTAAATGTTCAACTCATGCCTGTCCATTGTTTGGATGGAAGCCACAGGTATGGGTTCAATTCCAGACCTGAAGGGCAGTTAGGGGCCATAGTCTCAGTGGTTCCACCAGGCTCTATCAGACCAACAAACCTGGTCCCTTTCTTTTTTCCCCAAATGATTTTGAGTTTTGTCCCACATTGTTCTCCCTCTCTATCCAGGATCTCCTACATAAATCCCCCTCTGAGTGGTTGACAGTGGTAGCCAGGCACCATCTAGTTCTTCTGGTCTCATAGTTGTACAGGATGAGGACTGCATAGCCACAAGGACCAACTGTTCCCATGAGTCTTTGGTTTTCTTCGTTCTTCTTTGCTCTGGACGAGGAGAGACCCATCGTTGCATCTAGATGGCTGCTTGCAAGCTTTTAAGATCCCAGTTGCTACTAGTCAAAGTAGGAGGTGGAACAATGTTTTGTGTAGTATGTTATGCCAACTGAGCTTGATGTCCTGTGTGACTATGGTCCTGAGCCCACAGGTTCAACTACTTGGTCCCTCTGGGTAGCT